GATTTTTGTCAAATTCGAACTTGGCATGCTAGGGACGTTTTTAGTAAGAATCTTTCCAATATCATATATATACATTCAAAATAATACAAGCTCAATGGCAAACAACACAGCCAACGAAAAGAAAAATGCAAATTAAATTAAATACAAGCTCCTTTTAATTAGGCTGCAAATTAAAACACAAATAATAATATATATCTTAAAAATAAATATAAATACAAAAACAAAAGATCAAACATGTGAAACCCAATACAGAAGAAAGATCTTTGTTCTATGCCGGCCTGCTCTTACAATAAAAAGCCAAAAAATAAAAGAAGGGATTAATTAATTAATTAACAAACTCTTCGTGTTTAACCAAGTTGATGCAGAACGGAAGCACGATAAAGAATTAATTTCTTCGAATTAATCCTATAGAGCAAAATAACATTCGAAATCCACCTTGGAATCCACCAGAAAAATAGAGAAAGCTCTAAATATTTTATTAAAATTCAAAATTCTTCTTAAAATAAAATCCTAAGGCAGCTATTTATACTAAAAAAACTGAAAACTCTAATTAAACTAAGAAAATACTAAAAATTACAAAAAACGGCAAAAAACGAGTTAGAGTCTTATTCTAGTAGATCTTGTAATTTTGGGAACAACCCAATTTACGGAATCTTAATACGATTTTTCTATGATTTGATATTAATTTTCTAAAACTTGCCTAAAATAGCAAAACGAACTTTTAGGAGTCTAAACGACGTTGGATTGCTGAAATTGTATGTGATTCATGAGCTTTGCTCATGAGTTTTGTTTCTTGCGCCGTTTCACTTGAGATAGAGTTCGTTTCGTACTCAAATACAATTTGAGTTCGTCGAAAACCCTTATTTTTCCATAATTTCTTTCGATATTTTCACCAATGCCCATTAATAACTCTTCTTCGAATTAAATAGTTATTTTGCAACTCGAATCAAATTTGACATCTCTTATTAAATAAGAGCTTCATTATAAAATTAGTCCTACAAATTTTGGTCTAGTCTCTTTTTATTTCAAAATTTCTATTTGGTCATGTACTTTTTCCATTTTTTTTCCTTTTCAAAGAATGATCGCAAAAGTAAAAAAAATAATAATAATAGAAGGAATATTGTAAAAATGTTTTGACGAGAGAACTCGCAGTCATTCAAAATGGCCTATGTAAATTCTGCTTTCGTGTAATAGCTCATAAATCATATGAAAGATGTCTAGTAGGCTTTCTTTCGAACCCAAATGTTGGTTAGTGTTTAAGTCGAATAATCAACTAAAATTTATAGTTGTTAAATCGACAAACACTATCTTATTATTTTCGACAAACTTCTATAGTTAAAGGACTAGTTGTGAATAAGCCTATGGTAAAAATGCACTCACTAATCATGGCAATTTAACATAACTTGATTTGTATTCTGCTCGGTTACGATTCGAGCTCAAATGGATTGCCTGCAAACCTAGCTCGAACACGACTTTTAAAATTCGATTAAAAGAAATAAAAAATCAAAAAAACTTGAACATAAATGACTGATGGTGGGGTGGGGTGGGTGGGGTGGGTGTTTGAACATGATTTACCAACAAATTAACCTATATTTAACTATATAAACTTTTGTTTCTTGGAAAGTAAGGTTTAACCGTATAACATTAAAATAGAATTTAATTAACGTAGTGCATAAGTACTGTTGTTAAATAACTGTCTGAAGATGAGGGGTTCTGTTTTCAATTGTCATTTGTCAATGTTTGCTTATGATTAGTATTTTTGTTTGAGGGTTTACATACATCACCATTATGATTAGTGTTTTACAACATTAAAAAAAAAAAAGTTGGACAAAATGCAAAAATACCCTTGAACTATCACGAATTACTAATATACCCTTGTCGAATAAGTTTCTTAAGGAAAAAAGTATAAGGTCTATAATACCTTTGGTTCAAAAAAGAAAAATAAAAAGGGTAAATGATAAAAACCGTTTGATGGTGCAAAATTTGTACTCTCAAGATCTTCCTTCAAACTCTACTCGTTTTGGTTGTCGGAAAAATAAAAAGGGTAAATGATAAAGAATGTATTATTGATAATGAATCACAACCCTAATAGGTTATCATACATTTGTTTATATAGAGAATTATATACGACTATTTCCTAATTTAGAAGCTCTTTATTCGATCGAGATTTACATCGATTAGCGAATCACCGATCTTAATTTATACACTTTCTTTATTTTATGGAAATTATCTCGAGATCTTCTTCTTGAACGGCCATCTCCGAGCTCGCCACCTACCACCTATTATTCTTCCTTTAGTGCGAGTTGATGAATGTGAGTGAGCACTACGCACGAGTTGCCAATTGGCGATCTTCTTTATCATTTGAGCCTCTTCTTACAACCAACGCTTTAGTTCATGTCGATACTTACCATTCATTGGGGTTCGGCCTAATGGGCTTAGTTCCTATCGCTCATTGGGCATTGCCCAATAATTTTGGGTAGGGAAGGATTTAGCCCAAGATTGCTGAACTGACCCCATCACCTTTGATCGAGGTAGAGTTGAATTACCGAAAAAACTCTTAGATATCCATAATATTGCATTTGAATTCTTGAAGAATCCTATATATTTTTGGGCGAACTTCGACGTCATATAATTTCGGTCTAATGGATTTTTCAGCGACATTCCCACGACCTTGTAGTGGCATTTCAACGACTTTTTTTTTTTTTTTCTTTATGACTTATTGATAATATTTATCATTATGTACTTTGTATTATAAGGGAATTATAAAACACAGTTTTCAAATTTTGTCGACTTAGATACAAAAGTTTCTGATTTTGATGGTAGTTTTTTTCGTTCCAATGTTAAAATTTTATTTTTCGATTTTTTCCGAATATTTTTTGAATAGAATTAGAATTAAATTTCTAAAAAAATAAAATAAAATTCTCTACCCTACACAACAAAAAACTAGTACACAACGACACAACAACAACTAGTACACAACGATCGTATTCTATTCCAAAACAATATTACATTTTACCCCTCAAGAGATTGAGGTAAATAAATATAAATACAAGAATCAAGATACCATTCCATACAAACCATACATACAAACTTCAATCTTAAAAAAAACAAAAAAATAAAAATAATTAATAATAAATAAAAAACCCTAAATTTTAAATTTAAAAGACATTGCAAACAATATTCATAAAATTAAAATCCACACAAAGAAATCAAGATTATTCATCACCAATCCAACTATTTTTCCACTTAGGTCCAATAAGCCCTTCTTCACCAAACACCTCATTAGGGAGACTCCTCACAATTTTATCAAACACACTCTTTAATTTTCCCGGCAAAACTTTCTCCACCTTCCTAATTTCATCCTCCCTATTATAGCTAATTTCCGGGCCCCATTTTCGCGCATAATTCAACCACGGCCGCTCAACTCCGTCCACCACTACACACCTCGCTCCGACATCCATCGAAAACTTGCTCTTTCCACTGTCGTTTCGAATCCCAACATTCCCATTCCCTTGCAAAACCAACCCTTCCTTCGGGGAAGACGCGTGTCCATGTAAAGACGAAAATGCCCTCGGTCTATTGCTCCCGTTTTCGAACTCCAAATCGGGTGCCTCTACCCACACCCCATTACTACGTTGACCAAAATACACACTCTTTAGCTCTCCACTTAAATTGCTTATCCTTAAAGTAACATGCTCCCAATCTCCAACGTGCTCTCCGATTCTCCCCAACGAAACGTTCAAGAACTCGATTTTCGCCCTAACGGGCCCGTTGAAAGGGTAAAATAGCCATATTGCTATGTCGGTGAACGTCCCACCGAAAATTGGCTTCACGTGCAAGTAAGCGCATGCAGAAGCTAAGTCGCCTTTCTTGACTCTCTCCTTGGATTTGCATTGTCTATCGGAAGGTCAATCCAATACTCATCATCGTTTCCACCACCTTCCGGAAGATTCGAACCTGCCGGGCTTATATTCACAGGCTTCGACTCTTCGCCCTTCTTATACAATAGTGCTCCGTTTTCAAAGAACCACTCGACCGAAGAAGGGAAGTATTGTTTTTTTTTTTTTTTTTTTTTGAGAAAGGGAAGTATTGTTCATTAGGGTGGAAATATATATATGGAGAGTAGGTTTGAATTAAGGCATTAATTTGATCTTCATTAGGCATTAAATCTTGATTAGCATTGCCATTATTCTTCAAATAAGGCAAATCGAGATTAGTCCTATTGCTGATTTGTGCCGAAAAAGTGCCGGTTGGAATCGCCGTCCCCTGTATTCCCCTGTTTCTTGATCTTGATCTATACACACTTATCCCATTCGCATTCACATCACCCCAAATCACGGCCTCGTTCTCGCCGGAATATTCCGTGAAATCCGATCTTACGCACCGGATTTTGTCCACCGGTGGCTTCTCCGGTGAGCCCGTGACGAGATATCCAACGGGGTTATAGCCATCGGGCGGCGTCGGGAGCCAGATATAGGCTGCCCCGTCTTGCTTGATTTTTAACGACTCGCTGCTCCAAACAAGTGTGTAATCAGTTGGCGGCTTTAGGGCGGCATTATTATTATTATTATTATTTGTTGTGACATCTTTTCCGACAAGAACGTGACCGGACAACGGCTTGTTGTTCGGTTGGCTGTAGCAACCGAGCATGGAGAATCCTTCCGGTATCGAAGAGGGCTCGAAAAACGTTGCACCGAGATTTGAGGGCCCGCCTTCTAGTGCAGCCCAAATCTTGTTGAATTTCGACACCTGGCGATTTATTATTATTATTATTATTATTATTATTATTATTATTATTATTATTATTATTATTATTATTATTATTATTATTATTATTATTATTATTATTATTATTATTATTATTATTATTATTATTATTATTATTATTATTATTATTATTATTATTATTATTATTATTATTATTATTATTATTATTATTATTATTATTATTATTATTATTATTATTATTATTATTATTATTATTAATTTGTGTACCAAAAAAAAAAAAGAGTTATCATTATAATATGAAGAAAATTAAATAAAATGTACAAAAATGAATTATTAGACAATAAAATCATTGGTCGTGTTCTTCCCTCTACTACTTCTCTCCTCAAATCTGGTGTATTTATACCACCTGGCACACAATACATACACCCCGAAATCCGCCGCCGTGAGCGCCGCCAGCAGGTAATAAAACCTGTCCAGGTGCCCATCGTTCAGGTTCCTCGGTATCCACCCCGGCATCTCGTCGGAAGCCGACACCTTCATCACAATCGTCACGATCAGGCTGCTGACGTAATTCCCCAGCGATATCGACGTCATGCTGAGCGCACTCCCGAAGCTCTTCAGCCCGTCCGGCGCCTGCCCGTTGAAGAACTCCAGCTGCCCCACGTACATGAAAACCTCCGACGCCCCGATCAGAACGTACTGCGGCACCTGCCAGAATATGCTCATCCCTCCGCCGCCGTCACCGGAGGAATCCACCGACCTCAGCCGGAAGTGCTCCACCACGCCGGCGGAGATCATCGCCGCCGCGGCGATGACGAGTCCGGCGCCCATCCGCTCGAGCTCCGTCGGGGCGAGGCCTGACTTCCTCATCCTGGCCACCGCCGGGAAGATGACGCGGCGGCTGAGGAAGATGAAGGTGGCGACGCTGAGGATGTCGAAGCTGGACATGCTCGCCGGAGGGATGTGGAAGCCGCCGGCGGTGGTGGTCTTCATGGCGGCGCCCTGCTCGACGAAGAGTGACGTCATCTGGGTGAAGACGACGGAGTAGAGTATCGTGCAGAGCCAGATCGGGAGGAGCCTCAGTATGCACTTGACTTCCTCCACCTGCGAGACGGAGCACAGCCGCCATGGATTGTGGGCGGCGCTCGTTTTCACCTCCACTGTGTGGTCTTTGTGTGTCACCACGGCTGCTCTATCCAAGAATCTGCATGATTATTTAAACATTTTAATATATTAATATTTAATACTAGAGTTAAACTTCTATAAATTAATATAGTCCCACTCATAAAAATTTTAATAATTTAACGAAATATTAAATTATCGACCTAATACTTTAGTACGATTTTATTGAGTTGGGACCGTAAAAAAATATTATTTGAGGTTATTAATTTATCGAGTATTAATTTATCAAAGTTATAATATATAAGGATATTTTTTGGATTAACACCAAGAATTTAACTATTTTTTTTTAATTAAAATTAATGTAAATTTTGAATTTTATATCTAATTTCAATTGCATGCACAATTCTTTCTAAAAATTGGAAATAATTTTGATAAAAATCATAAAGAAATTTTATTAATTCAAAATCAGATATTTTCGGATTGAAATCAACGTAATTCATAAAAAATATCCCAATTTTCCAACCTTAATTAAAAAAAATTGAACTATTTTTGAAAATTCAAATCAAACCAAAAACAAAAATTTCATACATATAATTTCGAATCCGTCTCTTATTAGCCTAATCGGAACTAGATTTCGAAAATCAGAAATTTTTGGAACAAAATCAATGAAATTACAAAAAAAAATCCCAATCTTCCAACCTCAATTATACCATAATTAGATCAAAATCAAAGTGAATTTAGCAAATCTTGATGCATGCAATTAACTTACATGAACCCATGGGTGTGAAGAATTTTCCTCCCTCCATTATCAGCAAGATTATCACCACCTCCCTTCACTTCATACAAAAGATCATCATTCGAAGGCACCTCGACTTTCCACTTTCTCGACGCAGCAATCACCACCTGGCAAAACCTCGAAAACGGGTTCCCCTTGGGCGTAACGTGTCTGTAGATCGGGGTACCCAGCAAGAACAAAATCAGCGCAACAGTGGCGGACCCAGCAGAAGACCAGAAACCCACGGCCCAAATTCCCTTATCCTCGTAGTACCCCAAAACGGTGTTCGAAAATAGACTCCCGAGATTTAGCGCCAAGTAAAAGTAGCTAAAGAAAGCCACCTTCGAGTGGCTCTCCTTAGGGTGTTCCTCGTCGAATTGGTCGGCCCCAAATGTTGCGATGGTGGGTTGGTACCCTCCGTTTCCGAGGGCAATTAGGTAAATCGATACGTAGAATAGGGAGAGGTGGGTGGCGGAGTGGGCCCCGCATTGTGTTCCCTCGTCACCGCAGCCACTCGGCTTGACCAAGAATAGGTATGATGTTAGGGATAGTGATACCAATCCCTATCCAACAAGAAAAAGGAAAAGAGAGTCAAAATAATTAGTAACCAAAATATCACAAGAGATGAGACATCGCCATTTGACTAATCTTTCGATTTGTCGATTACAAATATTAAAGTTAAAAGACGGCGAAATGTTACTCGTCTTCGGTTTCAAAATAATTTTCGTTTTAGGAAAAAAAAAGAAAGAAGAAATTGTGGCATATTATCGATTTTTTGGAATTTCAATGATGTGTTGACTACCATTTTTTTTCAATTTTGCAACTATTACTCTTGATTTGTTGAGAGAGGACGATATAAATAAAATTAACGACATGAGTATTTTAGTCTATTTGTTTTTTTCCCCCTAAAATCCACATATTTTTAGTAGTTTCTAATACCACGGCGCAGTAACAGAAAAATGACACTTACTTTAAAACAAACAGAGTAGTAAAAATAATTAATTTCATTCAATTACAAGAACGTATTTACTCAAGTTGTTAAAAAAAACTCGTCGTCTTATTAATATTAGCAAATGAATACCCCCGGAAAATTAGTATGCGGAGCTTATTTCACACAAAAAAAAAATTGTGAAACTTTTGGAAAAACGACAAATATGATAAGTAATGACTTACGATGACGAAGATGGCTTGAAAAATGGCGCAAGTTTTGTAACGGCCCCAATAGGAGTCGCTAAGGAAGGCGCCAAGGAGAGAGAACAAGTAGACGGTGCCCGTCCATTTGCTAACGTTGTTTGCGGCACTTGCATTGTCTTGCCCCATCACTCTTGTTAGGTACAACACTAGATTCACTCCTACTCCGAAAAATGCCAGCGTCGCAAGTCCTTGATTCACTGCAATTATAAATAATTAAAAGAAAATGGGAAAAAAAATAATCGATAACATTTCCGAAAAACTAGAATTAATTAATTTACATGAGATGCATATTACCTAGTAACAAAATGCCTGCGCCCCATGATCCGGTTCTTGATCGAATCGCGGGCCTTCCATTGCGATCCACCGATCCATCCAGGGTGTATTCTTCTTGGCTTTTTACGATCTTGCCCTCCATAATTTCGGTGCTGTTGAACAATATACATGAAGTTTATATCAATATATATATATATATATATATATATATATATATATATATATATATATATAGACATGCAGGCAAACTAAACGTGAAGCAAGAACAGCTTTTGAAGTATTTATGGCCTATAAGAATAACTTTATTCCATGTATCATGGAATATATGAGTAAGCAAATTAAATTTCAGAATGGGTTTTTCATTTTATTATTTATTATTTTATTATTTTTCTTACCACCTCGGTTCTATAAAAAAAATCTATATATATGCATGTGTGTGTTATATGATATATATAAACATTACTTTATGTATATATATAATCAAGGAATTGTATAGTACGTAGACCATGCATCAAAATGATTGGCATTAATTAATGAATAATAAATATTTATCAATCATACAATATTACATGCAGTAAATGAGAAAGTAATAAAGAAGTGTTTATACTAACCGAATTTTCGACGATTTTTCGGCAAGTTTTTATGGGTGTTGGGAATTAGTTTCTTATGAAGAACTCAAGCTAATAATTAATTATATATATTTGTAGTAGAAAAAGTGTGTGTGTGTGTGTGTGTGTGTGTGTGTGTGTGTGTGTGTGTGTGTGTGTGTGTGTGTGTGGAGAAGAGAAGGTGAGTATGATAATGTATTTATAGAGGAGTTAGATTGCGTAGGGATATGTTATAAAGAGTAAACTATACACTTCCACAAGTCCATTTTAATTTCCATAAAAAGAAAATATATATATATATATATTATTAACAATTGTTTTGCAATGAAGAAGCGTGTTTTGTTTGACGACGACTATATATATATATAGTTTGTCTGCGTATGATTAATAATCCTTGTCGTTTATCCCAGACAGTGAGAAGCTAGTTGGGATTAAGCTGTATTGATACAGACATCTTTCAAACATGCGGTGATTTATCTTGTTTTATTACTACCTAATTAGTTAATTAATTAATATTAGGCTTAGCTTAATTCTTTTACAAGTACCTTTATTTATGGCTTCTTAATTCATAATAATTTGTGGGCTCCTCCTAGTTTATACATTGTGCAGCCATTTGCTTTGATGATTGATAAAACGTTATCAAGGCTGGTTCTAACTATAGGCGAGAGAGGTAGTCGTCTCGAGTCCTCGATTTTTATAAAAAAATAATTAAGAACCTTCGAATAACGTAATCTACATTGATTAACTCTTACTTCAAAGAGTTTCAGCAAATTGAAATATACTCTAATTTATTTTATTATATTCAAACAAATTTACAAATACTTGTTCAATAATATTTGTATATATCACTATCTTCAGAAAAACTTTGTGGTTCTGCCCTTCAACTCCGTAAACTTTTAATTTATTATAACTTCATTAATATTTTAGTCATATTTTTCCCAATATTTTTCACTGCTAATAAAATCCAATGGTGCTCCTTAATAAATCAATATTTACATTATAATACAAACATGAAGCAATTTTTACAAATTCCTAAAACTCATCTATGACGTCCAATTTTTCAGGAACGGTCCTGAATGTTGCATCGATGTTAATTATAATATTAAAGCATAACATGTCTAAACCAATATGTTTTTTTCTTGAATTTTGGATGAGAGATAAAACAAAAATTAAATGTAATATTATACTATAATATAATATTTATTATAATGTGAGTTGGAGTCAAACAAGAACAACAAATTTGCTTGCCATTGTAATATTATATAATATAATATTTATTACAATAGCAGCCAAACACAATCATATCCCACGATTGTTCTTTTAATTATTTTGGAACACTTTAGATTTTCTTTAGACCAACTCACATCAAATTTTGTACCCAAATTTCAGATCTTACTATTTTTGTTATTTTATGTTATAAAATTAATTCAACTGTTTTTTCCTCCTAAAACAAAAAACTGAAATGCTAATTGTAGCGGGACTTTTACTGAAATTGGCTTATTTGCAGCGGTAGTCTCATTTGTCAATTTTCTAACTTTCGAAAAAAACCGAAACGCTCTCAACTAAAAAAAATCGAAAACTTAGAATTTGAAGCTCGTTCGACAAATTCAAAAACGAACAACGATTTCTTCAATTGCTGGTCCGAATAACTTTTAAATGGTAAAAAAAAAAAGAAAAAACAAAAAAAAAAAATTAAAAGTCTGTTTAATCGTGCTATACAGCACGAGAAGTTTCAAAAAAGGGGAAAATGTTGAGTTACCCGTGCTGTACAGCACGGGAACTTGGGTTTCAATTTTTTTTTTTTTTCTTTTTTTTTTGTATTATTAATTTTCATATTCCTTTATATTATTAATTTTTATAATTTGGTAGGGTGATGATGGTGATTTTGACGAAAAAATTGATGATGAATGTAGAAACGAGTACAATAATCCGAATATGTGTTATCATGTCCTAAA